GACACCACCCTTGAAAGCCATCTCCAGTTCCACATCTGATGCCAGTAGTCTTCCAAAAATAGCATCATCCAGGAAAGAAGCTACTTTTTTCTTGGCAATCTTCTCCCTGATGAAAGTGAAACTTCATTTTGAATGCCACCTGCTTGCAAGCAGAGGACACAAAATGCCTCCCTCTCCACACCACCCTACAAGCAGATGCACACGTGCACTTGAGGGTTATTTATAGTTGCCTATTTCCATAAAGTTCAGAACCAACCGAGAAGATATTTTAATGCAGTATGGATTGAACTGCCCAGGTATAAGAATTTTCGGTGCTATCAGTTTAACATAGAAGACATAGTCGCAAACAGGAATGTTAGGAAAATAGGGTTTTTTTAGGGCAGTGTTAGGAAATCCATTTTTTAACACAGGCTTATGTTTGACTGTCATAGATGTCACATCCAGACCTACTTCCAGTGACTTAAGTGTCAGAAATCTGCTACATGGCTCCCCTGTAATTGTTATCATGCTCTGAGCATGACTCATAATGATGTCCCAAAACATTCAGTCTACTGTTTTAGGGATTTTTTTTTTTAATTGCATTTTTCTCTGTCAGATCAGAGGAAACATTACAGATCAGAACATTACAATCATCTACCCTAAGCCCTGTAAAACACCAAGCCAACACCTCATAATTCCTCTAGTAAGCATATTATGGTTGCTTTTTTGCCCAAAACACAGAACTGTTCAAGATGACAGGCTAATTTTGAAGTTACAATTGCTCAGTGAGTAGCAGAACATTGTCTCATCAGAGATGCTGCCCCTATTTCATTTTTCACAGACATTCAGCCTTCCTCTGGGATATATGAAAATGTCAATAGAAAATAAAGAGCTCCTTTACCCTTCCTTACAGGGACTGCCTACATCTATATCCACGCAAGCTAATACCTTTCAAATCACTTGTGCTCTGGACACAGCCTGTAAACTTTCTCTGTGGTCCTTGCCAGAAGCGTCCAAACCACGTCTCCACTTTCAACTTGGAGAAAATTCTGCTTCTCATCTCAGGCCATTTCCTTCTGCTTTCAACTCATTTAACCCTTCAAGTCTATATATAGGCCTTCTGTGTGAACGGCAGCCAGAACAGGATCTCATCCTCTCTGGCATCCCTGCCTGCCCTCATCTCCAGCCCTTTCCCTACTGCCTCTCCTGAGCCACTTATCTGGATTGCATTGGGGAGGAACAGCACTATTTTTAGGCTGCGCCTGTACTCTAACTAAGCACAGAGGAATGTGGCTGGGACCCGGGCCTGCCGGGGAGCGGCGGTGCTCCGAGGGCAGGCAGCACCGCATCCCCCGGGCGGCACCGCATCC